CATTCTATGATTCTATGATCAGTGCTTGGGTTTGGTTTTCTGTGGTTTTTGGTTTTTTTTTTTACCCTAAAGGTCTTCTCCTTTTTTGGATATATTTACAAAGATAAATGCTTACAAAGACAGATCACAAAGAATTGTGCTTATACAAAATGTGCAATTTAAATATGCAAGTAAACATGCAAGTTTGGCTCTTTTTACAGTAATTCTATTTAATCGTATTATTTTAAGATAGATGTTTACAACTGATTTGATTGCAGGCACTGTCACACTGTGATCTCTAATGTATATTTCTCTTTCAGTTGTAGCAAGTCTAATCATCCTACATTTGTCTGGGGCAACCAAAAAAGGAACAGGTATGTAAACTTCATGCATTTTTTCAGACATTATATTAGAGTCCAAAGTATGGATTTAAGGTGTTAGTGTTGGTCTTGAAATTTTTAGTGGTTCACCTACTTCCAGAGTCCATGCTTTGTTTATTTGTTTTGAGTATTTGTGTCCTTGTGCACACACAAAAATCCAGTGGTACTTGTTTTAACAAGTTAGGTACCTGATCCACAGCTAGATCTAACTAAAGACTTAGCCTGACTCTAACTGAAGACTGTAAAGTGCTCCCACTTTCAAACTGGGATGTCCAGATGGGGCACTAAGCTATCTAATTTTAAGATAATTTTGTTTGTTGAAGTAGAATTTAAAATCAGGAATTGTTTGCATTTGTGCAGGGTAAGAACAGAAAGAGGTCTTAAAAGCCCTGGATGCTAAGTGTGGTGACAGCCAAGCAGAGAGAGTTGCTAAGCACAGTGTGTGTCTGAATTCGTGTCTGCATGCTCAGTCCCTGCAGGCCTGAATTCATTTCAGAAAATTAAGATCCATGTTGTCATCAGCTTGGATACAGACCAGGAAGTAAGAAAAACACTTGCAAGGCATAAGGCAGATCTCAGGTGTTTATAATCATCATGGGAAGATGTCCATCTCCCTCCATTGATCATAAGAGGGAGCTTCAAACAACTTGGCTTTACACATCAGAGTCTAGTTAGTGTTAGTGGGGATGCTCCTTGGATACAGGTACCTCATTTGGAGCAAAACACGGAGCCCTCTTTGGACACGTGTACAAGGTCTAGAACCTACTATTCTTCCTTTTAATACCAACCTAGATGTTTCTCTCTTCAAATAATCCATCTTAATTTAGCCCACTTTTTAAAATACGATGCCCAGGAAGTGGTTTTTCATCTTCTTAGCCTGAACAGACTCAAACCTTTGTCCCCAGGCTCTTTGCCAATGTGCAGAAAAGAGTGCAAGAGTTTCAGATCTAGAAAGAAAGCAAACAAGAAGGTCTGACTCTGCTCTCTGATGATTCACCTAGGAGGGGGAAAGTTCTGGGCTGTGATTCCTGGCCCCAGAGCTACTTATTAATTTTACAGCAAACAGCAAGATAAAAATAAAGGTAATCTATGAATCAGAATCCAGGAATTCCCCTGTCCATCTCTGTGTGGTGAATATGAAGTCAAGCTGCTGCAAAATAAAAACAGGTCTTATATTGTATCATAATTCTGTGTTTTTTTTCTTGATTTTACAACTCTGATGTATTCCCGTATTATGGCATGTAGCTTGCTGATAGAGCACATCCTTGAGCCTTTTCAGATGTATGATTTGGAAACTCTTGTCTCCCCTTTTCTACTGAGTTATTATTTAAAGGCAATATAAATATTTCTTCCCCTAAACATCCAAGCCTCTTCTCTGCTTTGAAAAAAGGTTTTGAGTAAGAATAATAAATTTGTACACCTAAAGAACAGCATAATTTCTGCCCAGGTCAATGATTATAGTCTCAACAGAAATAAGCAGAGGCTGCTGACAGAATAGACTGTTTTATTCTGTAAGAGAGTTGTGTCATTTGGCCGTAATAATTTGTGTGCTAATTATATAATGCTCAATGTGATCATTCCACAGAAAAGCAAACTACTTCCGAAGGACAGAAACCAGTGCAGTGTGGAACTTGGACAAAATATGCAGAAGGAGGCATCTTCACTTCTCCCAATTACCCCAACAAGTATCCTCCCGACAGAGAGTGTGTCTACATTATAGAAGGTGACCAGCCAAAGAATCTTTCTATTCTATCATCAACCATACAAAACCAAGAAAAAAAAAAAAATCATTATCTGTGAAGAATATGTAAAACCCATATGCTCATGATAAATCTTCTTAAGACACAAGATTTAGAGAAGTTCTCTCTCTCCACTTTCTCCACTTTTGCTTTATCTTTTTTTGGGTAAAAAATTTAAAAAAGTGTAGAGCACACTAAGAAATAATGGAAAATACTTGATTTATTTCCTGACATCACTCATAAATTAGTTCAGGTGGTAAGTATGCGTGAGCCACTTAGCAGTAAGCACTGTGTAATTTATTTCAGGATATTGAAAGAACAAATAAAACTTAAAATGCTATAACATGACAGAAGAAAGAATATTTTTAAATGAACAGAAAGGTAACACAGGAAACAAAAATGTTTCTGACTTTCATATAGGTATTTTAAACTTATTATAACTGAATCAGTGATGACAAGCATAGCTAGGCAAAGTACAGTAAAGTCATATAGAAAACAACCATATAGTAAGTGTAAAAATTATTTTCCATCCAAGTGTTCATGAGAAATGAGGTAAAAGGAAAAAAAACCCAAAATCACCAAACCGAACCAGAAAAGAATAAATGTTAACAGTGAACTGCTGTAAGACAGAGTTTTTAAAGAGTAGACAATTGAAGGCATGGAGGTGATGTAAGAAAGGTTAGAGGTGTGTTACAAGCAGGTTACACAATTTCCTATCATCAGTGTTAGTACAATGGGTGTTGAAGGAATTGTTGTAAAAATGAATCCATGGAAAGTGATAGAAATTAGATACTGTCAGAGCTTAGGAGCAGAAAAGATGAATCAGGTACAGAATGGTAAGTCACTGGAACCAAGATGATTCATTTATGACTTGTGAGTACATGCAAAATACAACACTGATGCATGTTCTATCCATGCTTGGATGGTCAGAATTATTAACTACAAATTATGGAACCAGGAATTATAGAAATATTTATTTAATTAAAGATGCAAGTAGTTCCAAGAGAGATCTTCAAAGATGTATAGCTAGTTCAAAATGAATTAGCTTCTTTAGCACTCCCCACTAAGCCTTTTTAGAAACCAGTCTGTCTTTCTGAATCTAGTGCTGAGTTTCTGAAAGAAATGTATTTCATAAATATCTTTCAGGGAAATGATGGATGGTAAATGTTTTATGGATTCATTAGGAAAAAAATCACAGCAAAATTACTGAGATCTTTGAATTCCACTTTGCTGCTAGATAACCTGAATGAAGTCGGAAGTAAATAGTTGATTATAACTCATGGAGTCAAAAAACCCTTTCAAGAAAATCTATGCTTTTCCAGTCTTCCCACTCGAGTCCAGAATTCAGGTAGCCTTACGTTAAACATTTCTTTCACGGTTTTGTAACCAATTTAAAATAAAAATAAAAAAATAAATAAGGCAAAGGTACAGGTCCGATATGCATTAATTAGCATATTTTTTGTTACACTTAATGTTGATAGATCCAGGTCTTTTGGCATATATTCATCAAATTATCTTTCTGACATTCCTTGAGGCCTGAACGAAGTAATTCTATTTTATCTTCAAGGATTTGAAACACAGTTTTATCATTAAAGATAAAGGATGTAGGAAAACAAAAAGATATGACCATTTTTGTAAATGCTAGTTCAGCATCTCAGGCCATATGGTGTTCCTTATCATAGTAAGAAAGTGCCTGAAAGACCATCTTTGACTTTATTATAGTAATTAAGTAGTTATGAAAGTATAGTTAATAAGATGAAAGGTGGCAAAATATGCTATTGAACTAACATAATTTATAATAGCTTACATTGAAAATGTCTAAGAACAATTTAGGAAGGAAAGGTTTAATCAAACAACTTCTATGATGAAGATGAAATTCCACATTGAGAAGTTTGGAGCAATGTGTAGTAGAAAGAATAATCCAAAGTAAACAGACATCATGTTATATTTTATGGGAAAAACAAATCTGGGAAAAAAAAAAGTTTCACATAATTTCTTGCAACATTGGTATTTTCTACTTTCTCTCCTGCCATAACCAAGACTTTGGATTGCATCAGGGTATTTTAAAACCCACGATGATAGCAGCTCTATTAGTATATAATTTGATGAGAACAATGCATATTGTACATTTACATCTCTGATCTCCCCGTCTGTTTCTGTCTTCTGAAAAGATCAGAAATAATCGTGTCTAAAAAATGTCACAAAAACAAATGGAGGTATAGTAAGATGTCTGAGCACTGATATTTTTTAAAGTGTCTGTTTTTTAAAAAGTCAAAAGTAGACACACTGAAGGACAATAAAAATTGTTTTATAATTAGAGGGAATTATTTGTTCATAAATATTCTTTTTAAAACATATAAAGTTGGCAGAAAATTTTAAAGAAGGCTAGCAAGTGAAAATCTTTTCCCATATCTTTAATATTATGTGGAACTGGTTGGTTGAAGATACTGAAGTTAAAGAATTTAAAAAAAAAAAAAGATTAATTATGTCACTAGTAACAATATCCTTGAGGTAGGGTAATAATGTATGGAGTGGATAATCCTTGCTAATCAAGGACATTAACATCCATTCAGTTTCTCAGTAAGCCAGAAACATTTCTATATGGATCTTATTCCTATATTTGTTATTAAGATTTCAACACACTTCACATGACTTCTGGCTGCTGTTGAATACAAAGTACCAAGCTCGGGGGACTGTTGATATGCTCTGTTATAGTATTCCCACATTGCTATCTTCCCTTTTTATGTTTTGGAGGGTTCAACATACCAGGACTGTATATTCCATACTGAGTGCTGTGTGATGTGAGTTTAAATATGTGTATGAATCACCAGGTTCCTTCCTGCCTGCTTGCTTTCATTCCTTCATTTTTGCTATCAAACAAAATCTAGGACAAATTCTGATAGCTTCTCTCAAACAAAATTCCTACTGACTTAGGTGGACTTGAGTGAGGAGTCCATCATGTAGTGTGCTGTAATAAAATTGAATTTCATCTCATGATATAATTTTTTCCCCCACATTGTAGCTCATATTAAATGTACGTAAGCCTTTTATCATTTCAAAATTACTTTGGTGAAGCAAAGGAGCTGGCAAAAATTGCCATGATCATAGACTGTGAGGTTCTAAAAGAGAAGAGGATTTCTGACTGCAGAGGCTTCTTTCTAGCAGTCAAAGGCATATGCAGATCAAACAGCTAGAATTTTCTTTTTCTTTCTTTTTTTTTTCTTTTCTTCTATTTTAGTAGTAATGATAATTAACTATTGGAACAAGTAGGAATTTTAAAGTCCAGGTTGGATGCCTTTCTAAAAGAAATCCTTTAGGTCATCCAGAAGTCATGGCCTCAGTACAAAAATTATTATGCTATAGGAGAGCTTCTGGTGAATCCCATCTGCCTTTGAAAATGCATTGAGGATTTGTTTTTTTTTTTTTTTACTTTATTTTCTTTCAGCATTATTGGGCACATAGAAAATGTAGGAAATAGCTGAGTGTACACACTAAATTTCCTGTTGGTCCAAATTTCACCCCTGTTTTGCATATTCATGACTCTAACCTGGCAAAATTCACAGCTGCCCGGAACGACCACAGCAGTGACAGCATTATCCTTTGCCAGACTGCAAATTTGGCACGTGTGCTCCAAAGGGAAATTTGCATAGGAGATTTTATAGGAGCAAAGGCTTTTGTTTGTGTTAAAAATATTTGAGGAGTGGGGTAGTTGTGCTTTACAAAATATATCTTAATAATTGGTTTGGAAATCCTGTAAGTGAAATACTTGTAAGATTTTATCCATTTTTCAATTTTTAATAATTAAGTGGTTATTTATAAATGTAAGTATGGACTACAATGACTTTACGGAGGTATGAAATAAATCTTCCACTTTATATGTTTGTGGGCATTTAAAGTTAGTTCTCTTGAAGGTCTTCCATGTTTTTGCTGAAGACCATTCAACTCTTTAATCCTAGGTATCTCACAAGCATTAGAAAATGGTCCTGTATCAATGTATGAAAAATCTCTGCTGAAAGTCCTTTTGTATTTCACAGTGATTTTTTGCATTCAAAAAATTTTCATCAAAACAATGAAAGAATCCTCTTTTAAAAGGATGCTATAGGTGGGTTTCTTATCAATAATAGCCAGACAACCAGAATAACCAAGGATTATTGAAAAATACTAGTACTGTAGCAGCTCATATAGATGAGGGTGTAGGTGTTGAGTTCAATGCCTAATTTCCATGTAGTCAGGTAAATTAAAACAGACCTTTCACAACTTCAGCTGTCAGTTACACAGACTTAGAGGCTGGTCAGAATTAAAACCTTAATTGTGAGGTTTTGCTGCAACTGTTCTATCACAAGTTGGAACCTAATGCCTTTTCCTTTAATGAATGTAAAATCTCAGGACAGCACTTGTGTAAGATAATTAGATGAAATATATGACAGGACATGCAAGCATTAAGAAGTCTTTCTCAGCTATTAAACATTTTTGAAGAAAGAAAATTGAAAGATAAATATGGAAGATTTTTAAGAGTTGAAGTAAAATCCTTTTATGAGACATCTTCACTATGTTTCATTTGGACTCGGCAACAACTTTTCCTGACATTGTAGCCACAGAAAAAGTTCTTAAGATGTGAATAGGCTTCACCTGTGTTTAGGGATACCTCCGTTTCTGATTAGATGGCCAGATTCCAATCCAGTCTAGAAGAACTACGTATTATGGGCTTTTTGTTTGTTTTGTTTTGTTTCTCTGCAGCTATACATACTTTATTATTAGTTATTATTCTAGACTTGTTCTCACTGTATTTATCTAAGTTTTACTGTGACCACATTTGTACCGCTTTGTTGCAAAAGCTGTGGCACAAGATGTGTCTTTTTACAATACCTGTTTGTTTTAGCTTGTATTTGGCAAAGAAACCCTTGTTAAAGCCAGGGTATAACTCCAAAATGATACCTTTTTCTCTAAAAGTAAGTTAAAATTGGAAGTTTTGAATTGTGTGTTTTCATCCCTTATGGTCATTTCCAGAAACACTTGAATGATTTTGTTTCTTAGGTAGATTATCAGAAAGTAAACATGTAATCTTTAAATACCATATAAAATGAAGCACAGATGTACATTAAAAAGCGCGTGATCAAAAGGTGCATGGGTGCAGGTATAGCACCCCTTCCGCCCTTCACCCAATCTTTCGTGCTCACCACAGTCCTCACAGTAACAGAAACACAAAGTGTTGCATGCCTCGGGAGAGTTAGGGGAAAGGACCTTGTCCTGTTTGGACTAGCTTGCAAAGCAGGCTGGGACACAGGCAATACCTATACTACCTAAAGCAGGTCAAGAAATCTTCACAGGCTTTAAGGCTGATAAGCACAATCACACATGTACAGATTAACTCCTTTCACTTTCCCAGTCAAGAAGAGACGTGCATCTCGGTACAAGAGTACAAACAGAAACTGCTTGCTGTGAACAGTCCTTGACTGAAGCGAACCACTGCGTCATGCCTAAGAGCGAGTTTTGGCAGTTCTGACTGGCATGGCCAAAATGCCGTCAGGAAGTGATTTCAGCATTTAAGGAGTGTGAACATTCAGTGGTCCAGCCCCCAAACTCCTTCCCCAGCTTTGTTTTATTTAAGGGTGGAAGGAATAAATAGTCAATGCTCCATTATTGCAGCCTTCCAGTACGTGAAGGGCCCTACAACGAAGCTGGGGGGGACTTTTTACAAGGGCCTGTAGTGACAGGACAAGGGGTAATGGGTATAAATTGAAATCAGGGAGGTTTAGATTAGATATCAGGAAGAAGTTCTTCCCAGAGAGGATGGTGAAGCACTGGAACAGGTTGCCCAGAGAAGCTGTGGATGCCCCATCCCTGGAAGTGTTCAAGGCCAGGCTGGATGAGGCTTTGAGCAACCTGGTCTAGTGGAAGGTGTCCCTGCCCATCGCAGGGGGTTGGAACTAGGTGGTCTTTAAGGTCCCTTACAACCCAACCCATTCTATGATTCTATGATTTTTAAAGTGGAGCAGCCTTTATTATGGGAGATCTGGGGGAAATAGAAACTCTTTCTTGAGCACTCCATGAGCTGATAGGATTCTCTCTGATCGTCTGACTAGAACTGATCTTCAGTAGGAGAAACCTCATCTTGACTTTGTTGAAAAATAAATAAAAGTAGACGAGTAAACTATAGCAATATTCTGATCATAAAACTAATTTGCAATGTGAGATTCAGAGAGCCACATGGAGGTTGCGGAAATCATGCTTTTCTCAAGGTGCACTTTCACCGAGTCAGTAGATGTCACGCATAACTCTACAGGCCTCATTTCTTTCACCCACAAAGACTCCTTTAGGGCTTTAGGGGTCCTTTTCAACACCAAAAATCATATCAAATGACCGAGCTGTAACTCAAAAGGACCTCATGCCCATTTTTATCATATCTTACAGTGAGAGAAGATATGGTAAGGGTTTAACTATGGGCCAGCAGTTGTAAGCCTCCTCTTGGTATGCAACATAATAGTGACGGCCTATCACAGGAAGTCTATAAAGGATAAATGTGTTGCGTTAGTGGTATAAGGCATTTTTGAAGAAGTTATCTTTGTTGCTGTAGAAAGCAGAGCAGCCATGCGCTGTGGTATGAAGCTGTCTAACACTAATAAAGTTAGCAGAATGCATCTTCATATCTAGTTTGCAACATTAAAAAATTACAATAAAGCTTTAGGTAGGTTAATAGCATAATATATGAATAGTGAGTGTATAAGATTTTCAAGCTTTAATGAGCATTCTTAAGATTGCCCAAAGCATTGTCAGGATGGAGTGTCTGATACCTGACTTTGCAGTCTCTAGATAAATGATGTGAATAATGAGTAGTTCTCAACAAATCACTTTAAATAGAATAAAAGCATACAAAATATGATCCAAGATTGAAAGATGCTGATTGCTCAATTCTGCCCTAGTATTGCTTAGTTAAGTTTAAATCAATATTTGTTATAAAGATGTGAAGCCAAGTGTAGAAACATCTGAATAAAATTAATCAATGATGTCTTTGTTATTCAGTCTTTTACGCTAATCTAAAAGATCTACTTTGGTCTTGAACGCTCACCAAGGGTAGCATTAATGAGATCTTTAAAAGTTTTGTTATCTGATTTTCTTTTTGTAAGGGTTTTTTTTTTTTCATACATTCAAAGTAGCTTCATTTTTATGGACTGTGAATTTGGTGCAATTATATATAAAGCTTTAGGTTTTGATATTGTTATTGAATTTGAATGGGCACAAAGATCACACATTTCCTGTAAATTGGTATAAATAACAAGCCAATAGTAAGTACTTCTCTAAATGTGAATTTCTTCAAATTGAGAACAGTAGATAAGGTTTCTTTCTTATGTTAAATTAAATATTTAAATAAATATCAATCTCCTAATTATATTAACATTGAAAGTAAAACTATTAAAATAATATTTATTTTCAAGGAACATGTTTTATTAACATTCTGTGCTTTTATATAAAGATTATAATATGTACCTAATGTTTTCTAATTTATTTCATTTTAAATAGTCTCCCTTCTAATGTGAGTAATGAGCTCGTCCCAGAAACTTCAACTGAAAACTTTTCAAACTACATACAATATCTAGCTTCTGGTCACACTGATAGTTTTTCCTATTATACCTGGAGAAAGAAATGGAATGATACAGACTGCTGGAGTGGCAGCAGTTTCCATGTTGAGCTTATTCACTCAGCTCAGAGTTTGATCTTGCATTTTTTCATGAGAGAATTGTAACTCAGGCAAAGCTCATAGCAATTCCAACCTCATCTAATATGTGTAAAGTGTAGTACATGATCTCATGAGAGGCAGAGCAGGCAATGACACACAAACCCTTGTTGCAGCAGAAGACTTTGTCAGCAAAAGACTATATCGCCGCATTATCTAGACACTGAAGGCATGCATTTTTTGCTATGGACAGGATTAAGCATAGGAACGTGACATCTCAGGGGTGCTGTATCTGTTAAAATTTGTGGACAAATCCATGATTTTTATTTTCTGTTTTTAATTCAATACTATACTCCAACCAGCAACTATGTTGCTTTATACAGGAGATGTTAGGGAATACCTGGTTTAGAGATCATTCTGACTGCCACTAGCCATAGTATCTATCAATAAATATGATTTTTATGTCCAATTAAGTGTCCATTATAAAGTTTCTTCAAGGTTTTCAGTAGAATATTGCTTGCTCTTTGTTTAGATGTTAATTTTGCTTCATCCTTACCTAGTTTCTTAACTGAGAATTCAATACACTTGTCCTTATGTTTCAAATGAGATGATAAGTAATTTTGAGTACAAGCAATTGCACTCAAGCTTGTCCTTGACTGAAATACATATCTAGGAATAGAATTTGTCCTTCTATAGTCCTGTTCTAATCCGTATTTTTTTCATCTTTGTGAGCATTATGTAAAAAAAGTATTCTGGTTAACATAGCCCCCTCTCCCCACCCACCCCCCCAAAACCAACAAAAATCCCACTAGTTTTTCAGATGTATAGGCTTCTGAGAAAGGTTTTATGTTTGAAGCAGTAATTCCTAAACTGTATTTTGCTTTATATTGTAGATATCTCTCTTAGTTTTGCTAAGAACTGCTGTCATGAACAACTTTCTAAAGGAAAAAAAATAGAAAAGTAAGCTGATGGTGTAAAACCTATAAAAATATAGATGTAATAATTTTCAAACAAGTTTTTAGGCAAAACGTTTAGATGAATATAAAATTGATATATTTAGGGTTTTGTTTTGTTTTTTATTTTTTTAGGATTTGGTGGTTCTTGCATTAGATAATAATAACATAAATTTCTTTTCATCTCTAGCTGCCCCTAGACAATGCATTGAACTACATTTTGATGAAAAATATTCCATAGAGCCTTCTTGGGAGTGTAAATTTGACCATATTGAAGTACGAGACGGACCTTTTGGCTTTTCCCCAATCATTGGACGTTTCTGTGGACAGCAAAATCCACCTATGATAAAATCCAGTGGCAGATTCCTGTGGATTAAATTTTTTGCTGATGGTGAGCTGGAATCTATTGGGTTTTCTGCTCGATATAATTTTACACCTGGTGAGTACAAACCATCACACTTTTTGATAGAAAAAGCTTAGCATAATAACCTTGCTAATGGTGTGTAATTGTGCTGTTGAACAATACCTCTAACTGGAACTATGTTTATTATCAAGGAAGGTATTAACAGATAGAGAAATGATAGAAAGTATATATATATCTTTTGCAAAAATATAAGGATTGTTCAAGGAAGAAATTTTCAATAGAGTTTTGTCCAAGATGCATAAATTCAGTCTCTGCAGGTTTTAAAAGAATTGTTTTCAATTGAATTCTATTATAGAAAATCATTCAAAATGTTTCATGGGAAGTTATGTGTTTTATGCTTGATTGTTAAACTGTGGAGCTTTTCTTTCAAAATCATTATTAATAAAGTATTTTAATAAAAAATCTAATTATCTCAGACAATTCCATCATTGCTTTTCCACTTCACCAATCATTTTCCTAACTGCGGAGTGGAATAATTCTCCCTTTTCAATAAAGTAAACCATTACAAATAATGCCAAAGGAAGTGTGAGGTTCAAACAGTTAAATGTATTAAGTATTTTTTGAAAAAAAATGTAAATCTTAATTGCAATTGCAAAATTATTCCTTGTCACTTTTTTAATTTAATTCATTAAAGTAAAAAAAAAATCATAGTCATACTTTCCATTAATTCTTCTCCTCCCCCCACTTAGTAACAAAAGATTGCTGATTTTAAAATTCATTTTTGGCTGCAGCTACACTATACTGCACTGCTGGATTTGACGTAGTTTTCTACTTTCTTATTTGTTGAGTGATGAGTCATACCTTAATATAGCTTGGTCTAAAGCACTGTAATTATTATGTAATTTTGTCAATTATGTTACTATTGTTTCAGTGAAGTTGTATTAGGTGGAACAATATTCTTTAGAATATCTGCTAAAATTAACTGGCCCCAAATTCTGATTGCGTAATTATTCCAGTATCATCATAGAAGATAGCAGGACTACTTCAATGTTCTTCTATGCAGTTTTCTTTCACTAATGTAAGGAAAACAATTATGAAATTACCCAGCATGGTTCAATTTTCTTTTAAGTCAAAGATATTGTTTTGCAAAAGGTAAACATATTTAGAAGGTTGAAAACAGCAACAGTATACTATACTGTAGCAAATAACCTGATAGCCAGAGGTACGTAGCTATTGTAAATGCAAATACAATGGATGAAATTTTACTATACCCACGCATACATGTCTCTGAAAAGTGAGTTACGTTTATATCTCGTTTACCATGGTTGTGGCTTTTTGCCATTTTCCTCCCCACCTCTAACAAAAGTTCTTTGCTTTAGATTTCATATCCTCCTTGTTTCAAAGGGTTATGTATTATGGTTGAAAAGAAGTTCATAACACAATCTGCAGCTTATTCTCTCTAAAAAACTCTCAAGTGAAAAACAATTTCATGGACCGTGTTTTATCCTCATTCCTTTCTACTGATGTAAGGTGGATTTCTACAGAGATCAATGCTTGTAAATGACTATAGCAGTATAAATTATTCTTGACTTCAGATGGAATAGCTATGTCTTTTTTCTTTCTCTTTTTTTTTTACCCCCATAAATTTCAATAGGAACCTCTGCAAATGATAGAAGGTTTCTAGGAATAATGAACAAAATGAGAATATGATTAAACTGACAGGGGCAAAACAGCACCTGTAAGAGAAAACAGTTTCCATTCCCCATGATTACTTGACCAGTCCTTTATTATGTAGGCATGGGTAAGGCTTGGTATTTTGAGATCTGTTGCCCAAATGTGTGCAGTGGGAGAGGTAACTGTGAACTAGTCAGAAAGTGATGGCTTTCAAGGGTGTATAAAAGAGTAGTATAGAGAGAAATTGCCTCAATAAATTATCACCTAAAACTTGTAGATCCATCTTGAATAGTGACAACTTATGAAATTATATTAGGAACAAAGGAGAGATTAGAAGAAAATTTTCAGCTAACCCCTCTTTAAAGAGCATCAAAAAAATGATCCAAAGCAAAGACTCATTTAGAAACTTATTTTTGTTGAGAGCAGCAGAAGACTCAGGGGAGATGCAGTTTGTTGTGTCTATCCCACTAGGCACAAGTAACATACTCTGCCTAATTGCAGTCTGTGTAAGAGACTTTCTCCAGCCCAACAGCAAGGGTAACAGGGCTATTTCTTTAGTACCAGCAATCTTTGATGGTCCCCACCTGTGTAGTTCCCACCCACCCCTGAAATGTTCCTCAGCTGCTCCTTTTGTATTAGGTATCTTGACAGAACCTCTGTTTTGTTGATGAAAACAAGAAATGTGATGGTGAATGTGTGGGTGTTTGGCAAGATTTAAAAAAATTGAGTAAGTGTATTTGACTAAATTGAAGCTGCAACCATTTATTATTATTTGAATGGTACCTGGAGAAGCAGGGAAAGAAATTATTTACTATGTCTCCAGGGTGTACAGAAACAGCTAACTAGATGAAGTTGAAAAAAAGATTAATTAGGATATCAGGAAAAACATTCTAATGAAGATCTATTAGTATCTGCAAATGGAAAGAGCTCTGTCACCTGAGGCATTTTAAAGCTAGTTTGGACTAAGTCCTAAAAAAAGAAATTACATAGAACAATCATAAGGAATGGACTGGTATTTTGCTATCACTAATCTTTCTCTGTTTAATAATCTCTCTTGGTACTGAAATGGCTGGAACTTCATCCACCAATGCAAAAATCCAGCAGAGTTTCAGCAGTCGCTCAACAGGCTGGGGTTTCAGGCATTTTGAACAAACATAATTTTCTTGCCATAAATTCTGTTCCATTTAAATGGATTTACTTTCAGAGCACTTTTCAGCACTCTAAAAGGTGAGATCTAGCAGAAGAAAAAACTTTAATGACAAATTGAGAACTACACACAAAACCAACACAAACACACCCAGTAAGTGGTAAAACTACTGAAAATTTTGCAAAAAAGTTCCTTATTAAAAGAATAATATAGGCTTTCATTTTTGTGATTTTATAAATTAGAGGGTTAAGCAAGATGTGATTGAATGAAGCTGTAGGTATGGTATAAGGATTGACTATTTGAAATGTCAAAACTCTGACTTAAGGGAAGAATTTTTAAGTATATATTATTACATCTAAATACTGGTAATAACCGGATGCAATTTTGCATGTAAAGTAAATGTTCAACCATTTTGTCTACATAAGATTTTATAAGCAAAAGAAAACATATTTACTCTTTATGTACTGTTTAATTTATTTTTTTATTGTTAAGTGTTGATTAACTTGTGAGTATTGCTAAATGGAACTACCAGCACCTATGAAACTTTTATAAGTATATATGGACATTTTGTTGGGGTTTTTATAAATCTTATGTATAAAAGAAATATCATACTACAATATTTTCAAGTTACTATAGTTCATTTTGAATGCAAATATGATTGCTTAGGGAAAGGCAGAAGAGAAGAGTAACCTGATAATCCTTTCTTGCTCTTGGTTTTTGATTCTTTGAGCCATCGAAATGCCTAACCTTTAAATTTCATTTCACAGCTCTGGCTCTTTGGATTCTAAATGTTACCCTCATTTTTCCTAAAAAGCTATGTCTAAAGAGCATTTTCCAAAATGCTGCTCAGTAACTATCTTGTGTAGAAAAATTCAATGATTACTTGACAACAGTTTTTTAAATGAGACAATTTTTTAGTCTAGACAAAGATTCAGTCAAAGAGAGGATATGTTTATTTGAGCTTTCTTACTCAGCTAGTATAATCAGATTTCTGTTTATCCTGGTCTCTGATTTCACAGGACAGTGGCTTAAGATAGCACATCATTACTTTCAGTTCCTTCACTTAGTAGAAGCCATCTGTGTTTTTATTTAGCCTCATTAATATAAAGGTCAGTCAGTAATGTATTCTGTGCAACTGCCTGATAATGGAAAAAGAAAAAATGTTATACTCTTATGTCTTGAAAAGTGGAGTTTAAAACATTGCTTAATCAGAATAACGGTACTTTTACATCCCCATTGTAATGGTACAAGTAGCTGTAGAATGTCAGAGTAATAGACTAATGACATCATCTATCTTGATCCAAAAAAAAAAAAAGAAAAAGAAAAAAAAATTCTTCCTGATAGGGGAATTTTTACATTTTAGGACTGATGGAAAATTTAGTGTGAATTTAATAAATTCAATCACTGTTCACAATAAATGTGATTATGGTGTTATATTGCTAAATATTATTTACAGAGGAATCATATTTCTCTGACATCTGCTTCCAAAATTCTGTCTTTTTGGAAGCACCTGGGAGGAACCTTAATCAAGCTTAGATGTACATTCAAAAATAATACTGGAAAACCAACATTTTTTTATTAAGCTAGGTTTTTACACCACCATTGTTATAATTCTCAAAATAGTTTATATTATTACTTGTTACAGAACAATTAATACTAAATCTTAGTGGCAGGAGAGGATTTTCTTTAAATATGGTCCTTTTCTTATTCTCTTTCCGCTAAGGATACACTTCTGGCTTTATGCAACTACTACACTGAATTAGGTTAACCTTAGGTCTGATAGAGTGATTACCCTTTGCTTTTAACACTGGCAAAATGTGGAAATAACCTGTGGCTCATGGGCATTTGTTTTCCCTATTAATTCTTGATTTCTGTGTAATGTTTGTGAAGCACTTGGAAATGGCAAAGCAGGGAAGATAATACAGAATTTGTGCTGAACAGAAAGCCTGAGTAGGTGTCTTTCACAAGTGTTTGGAAACAACTTGTTTACAATGAGAATTTTCACTACTAATATGCATATTCAGAATGTCAACTCCAGAACATGTTAAGTATCTTACTTCGTAGTTCTCATTCAAACATTTTAAGACCTATTTCTTCAGGGAAAAAAAAGACCAACTGCCTCATACGTAATGAGTAAGGAGTTTCTGAATACTCTTCAAAGTTGTTACAGTTCATCTGACTTCCGTATCTGGCGGAGTTTCTAATAGCTCTTACTGGGATCCACTTCTGGCTGATTGTGTTGTGGCCTTATCCT